AAGGGTGGCCGTGACAAACTGAATGCAATGGCAGTGTGATGACATACTAGATTATAAAACCAGAGGACTGTACATCAGGAGAAAGTTGCATTGGGTCATCTAAATCAATCTTGCGTAATCAGATACTATATCACATATTTAAAACCTTCCTGCTTGAAGTTCTCCATATTCTCCATAACTTATGTGGAGGGGTCCCAAGACATCTCTAGTAAAAAAAAAAAAGTTGCTTCAAACAGAGACAGAAAAGATAAGTTGTTCACCAACAGCCACTGCGAGAGAGAGAAAACTGTACTACTGTGTAGTGTAGTGGTTTGAATGTTGGACTACAACTCTGGAGACCAGGGTTCAATCCCCAGCTTGGCCATAAAGCCTACTGAATGACCTTGGGCAGGTCACACTCTCTCATCCTCAGGGGAAGGCAATGGCAAACCTCCTCTGAACAAATCTTGCCAAGAAAACCCCAGGATAGGTTTGCCTTATGGGTTTTCATAAGTCAGAAATGACTTGAAGGCACACAACAACAACTAAGCCAGAAAACCCATTGATCTAACTTGTTATAAGACAGCTTCAAATTCCCCCCCCCCAAATGTTCCTTTTTCTCAAAAAGAACAATCATTTGATGAAGATTCTGCTGTCCATTTATTCCTTCTGCAGCTTGTTCAACTGCTGAGCAGCTCTTTTAGACCTACAAGACACATTCTAAACTTGATTAAATAGCATGCATTTTATGTATTCATTCCAACGATCCCTAGGAATTGTAAATTTTGTAACAGCCATCTAATTGAAAAATTCTCATGAAGCTCTTATGCTGGTAAATAGAAGGTTGAAAATGTTTTTGTTTACTTATGTAATGCTTACTTGTCCTGGTTGTTTCATTTACATATGCATCTTGTTAATTTTGGTTAATAGGTTTGCTGAAACGTACTCTTTCTTTTGTGGTGTAAGTACCTATCTCTATTCTTTCCCGTGTTATTTCTGCCTATGGTACCAAAGTTTCTCTTAAAGAGGTAAAGAGGAATGCATCCATTTCATTCACTGAGGTATACCTGTATTTGGACAAATTTACATAGCTCAGCTCTCCAGATACTGTATCATTTCAGAAAGTGGTCTGGGGAAACTTTTTGGATAATTCACTCTTCTGGGATTCATAGTCAGTTTCATACTTTAAAGAAAGAGGAAGGAAGGAATTTCATTTTTTAAAATGAAAGAGAATTAGTGATCCAAACATTGCAAAACTGGACACTAAGTACTTCTGGCCTTGCAGGAAGAGGTATTGCAACATGAAGTTTTCCTTTCAAGGCTCAAGAAATAAAGATGATATGAATGCTGCACAGCACTTGAGTTGGCAAGCAACAGGGATTAATGTGAAGTCAGGAGCGAAGGTGGGGGCGGGGAGCGTAAGGATTTAAAATAGCTCCGTATTAGAGCGCATCTAATGGCACATGAAATTAGTGCTGCAGTGCATTTCTTCTGGCCTTGTTTGTTTTAACCAAAAGGAGTCACACTCACAGGTGTTTGTGGGTATGCACATGTGGGTGGTCTGATTTAAATCACGGTGGGGCAGAAACCAGATTAACTCTTTCTCCTTGCAATGTTTAACTTGTTTCACTAAACGTTACCTCCTGAAGCTCTTTGCCCATCTGTCTTGGTTGCTAGGATCCCCTGCGTGCCCAAAGCAAATAGGTCCCTCTGTTATTTTTACAGTGAGGTCAGGGAGATTGGCCACTCCTGTGATAGAAGCTCCCTTAGCTTCTTTAGCTTTGCTCTTGTTAACTACCTTTGAGTTGATCTCAACTCATGGCGACCGACCCATGGATGGAACACCTCCAAGAACCCCTGTCCTCAACCGCCCTGCTCAGTTCCTTCAGGCTTGTAGCTGTAGCCTCCTTGACTGAATTGATCCATCTGCTATGTGGTCTACCTCTTTTTCTCCTACACTCTACCTTTCCAAGCATTATTGTCTTTTCTACTGAATCCTTTACATGATGTGGCCAAAGTACAACAGTCATTTTGGTGACTGCGTGGATGAGACATCTCCGAGATCCTTTATCCTCAACTACTCTGCTCAGGTCCAGCAAACTCAGGCCTGTGACCTGCTTGATTGATTTCATCCAACTGGCATGCAGTCTTCTGCTCTTTCTCATTCATCCTTTCCACCTTCCCTAGCATTATTGTCTTTTCTTGTGAGTCATGCCTTCTCATGATGTGGCCAAAGTACGACAGCTTCAATTTAGTCATTTTGGCTTCCAGGGAGGTTTCACGCTTGATCTGTTCCAGTACCCATTTGTTTGTCTTCTTGGCCATCCACAGTATCCCTAGCACTCTTCTCCAGCACCATATCTCAAATGAATTGATTTTCTTTCTATCAGCTTTCTTCACTGTCCAGCTCTTGCATCCGTACATGGGACGTTATCACACCAGCGGCAAGAAAAGCGGCAAGGAATCAATCCAGAGCCATACCAGAATGATTCTGGTCGCGCAGCCCTAATTCCTCTTTGAAAGAGGAATTCAAAAGAGCTGGAATCGTGCAGCGATGGCGCAAGGATGATGCAGGGATGGACGGGGTTTGCTGCGACGTCGTCTGATCACGGAGGCAAAGGATCCAGAATGATGCAGCGATGGCGCAAGGATGATGCAGGGATGGGCGGGGTTTGCCGCGACGTCGTCTGATCACGGAGGCAAAGGAACCGGAATGATGCAGCGATGGCGCAAGGATGGGGCTGCTTTAGACCCCGTGTGATAACGTCCATGGTGATGGGAAATACCATGCCTTGGATGATCCTTACTTTCCGTGTTACATCATTGCCTTTTATGATCCTGTCTAGTTCTTTCTCAGCTGCCCTTCTCAGTCCTAGTCTTCTTGTCTACAATCACTGTTCTTACTGATAATTGATCCAAGGTGTGGGAAATCTTTGACTATTTCAATTTCATCATCTTCTGGATTGAGTTTATGTAGGTCCTCCATGGTACCAAAATCAGCCAAATTTTTCAGCTGGAATCTTCATATGGGGAGGTCCAAGCTATCTGAAAGACTCTTCATGTGAGCCTCCCTGGACTGTGTGATCTTCTGGAGAGGTCCTTCTTTCAGCCCCAGAAAAGTAGCTCTTGCTATTTTTTTGGGATTATACTACTCAGTGTCCATAGTTCTTGAAGGATTCTGGGACTTGTAGTCCCCAAAACAGCTATGTTTCTGTAGTTGGCCTAGTGGAAACTGCCATTTAACACTAACTAAGAACTCTACACAGCATTGGCATCTTTCTTAAATTTATCTGGTTCTTCACTATTCAGTGATTGTAAACCATTTGGGGACTATGGCATCAGACAGATGACCAACTCCAGACTAGTATCATTTCATTATAGACTAGATAGGCCATGTGAACCCTTTCCAACTCTATGAGTGACTCAATGACTCCTTCTATAAATGCTTTTGTTGCAGTATGATCTCTTGCCAGAAAAACTGCAATAAACAAAATTTATGGCACAAGGGCTGACTGGCTTTTAATATCCACTACAGTTAAACCTGCAAAGGCTTTTTATCTGACCAACCTGCCAGGCATGAGGACAGCAGGAAAAAGAAAGAAAAGTAAACAGGAGTTTAATGAAGAGGCTGCTCTGTGTCAACATTTAATTTACACACCTGTACCCTCCAACTGCCCTGACTGGGCAAAGACAATCCCATTTAATCCTCTGCTTTCCCACTTTTTCAGCTGCTATTAAAATGTCCCAGTTTCTCTCTCCTTTCATTTACCCCTTTGTCTTCAACTTGCTTCAATTCCTGCAAACTGAATTCAAAGTACAAAAGTAGTTTGCACTCATTTAATTCAGTGGAAGGCGAGGAGACGAGCAAGGAGTCCTGCCCTTCCCAGTAGGTTCACGCAAAAGCAAAGAGCTGCAGCCTCGCCTATTTTGTGTGTTCATCTTCATTAACACTTTTTAAAATCTTGACTACACTCTGATGTTGCATGGCTGAATGCGTGCTGGTTTCTGTCTGTGAAATGTTGGAAGGTATGCAGGAGGCCTTAAGCACACAAATTAATGGTACAGTTGGACTGATTTTAAGGCGACATCTTTGCCGGGTTACACGACTCTCATTCTTTTGGGATCTGTCCTTGGTGCAGAGATTGAATATTTCCCATATCCTTTTGGCTAAGATTCCTGTCAATATTTGTGACATTTCTCCCTGTTATCTTCTCCCTTCTAGCTAAACCTATTGCGCACTTTGCTCATTGGCATTGCATTCTAGAAATTTCATTGTCCTAATAAATGCACTTGCCAGTACTGGGCAGTTTGAAAAAAGAAATCCTTCACAAGCTTCCATCTCCTGGAACTTCACTATTTCCCCCTTCTTATGGATGAATGGGAAACAACACTTGTTTTGTGCAATTTGATGGAAAGTTTAAAAGTCACCCTTTCTGGGCAGATGAAATCCAAAATGCAAATCATTGCATGATCACTCTCTTTTGTTAATCACTTTGTCACTGATGTGGACTGGCTTTCTAACTTTTTGTATCCCCAAATCTTTGCCAATGGACATTTGCAAGTTCAACCTCTTTCTTTCCGGGCCATTTTCTAGGCACTTAGACAGGGAATGGTTCCAGCACTCAGTTCCTTTATGAAGCCTGGTGAGCGGAAGGATGCGATGTCTTGTATGGGAATGGTGCCCATGCTTGGATAACTGCTATTCAGCCATTTCCCTGGTATACCCTGGAAGATAAAATGCATGGTTGCTTTAGCATGGGACTTGTAGTGGCTGCATTAAACTTCAAAATGGGGCTTGTAGTGCTAAGTGTTGCTTTCTTGAATTGGAAGATGGGTCAAAGGAGGGCCGAGAGAAATAGTTCTCATAGGACGTTATCACACGGAGCCCAATCCAAACAGAATCCAAACGAAATCCCGACCTAATACGTATTATTTTCCTGTGTTTCCACACAACGTCGCACAGAACCCCGACAGAACCCCAACAGAAAGCAGAACGATCCGAGATCTTTTGAATTTCGGTTTCTTCAGGAATTGCAATT